GATGGGCAGGCACCGGCCGCAACCAGCCGAGCGGCACCGGCGCGCACACCCTTTGCAGCTGCAACGGGCCCCGGAAGACCAGCTTGAATTTCCTAAGCGGGTTCCCGAAATCGCCTCCCGTAGACATGGTACACCCGGCCCTGGGGCCGGAGGGTCGACGGGTAGCGAAACGAGGGAAAGGAAGCAAGAGCAGCAGGTCCTTTAGCTGAAGGAGACCGGGAGGAAGGACACCTCTTGCCCGCCTGCCCGCTCGCCGGTCTGCCAGACGCCGGGACCGTCAAGGGGGCTGCGATCTGCAAGGGGAGCCGCCCGTGCGGAGGGCGGCGGCGGCGGCAGCCTGCAGTTACCAGGGCAAGGACACACCGGAGTGCAGCTGAAGAGGATGCAAGAACAAGCGCTGCCCTCCTCCCGCCTCTCCGCTCCCTCCCCAGTCCGCAGCCCCTGTGGGGGTCAGCAAAAAGGAGCCTTTTTTGCTAAATCCAGCGTGCCCTACCCTTTTGAGAAGGCACAGAGGTTAGCAAAAAGGGAGCAACGGCTCCCTTTCCTTTTTGCTAAAGCCCCGTGCTTTCGCAAAAGGGCGTGGTAAAGCGCTGTATAAAACAACCCCCATTTTTCCCTCAAATTATTTAAGAAAAATATCATCTTATAAATGGAAAAATACGGTACTTTATCTTACATTACCGTTTTGAAGCAGCTTTGTACAAGAGCCAATGCAGTATAGTGGATTGAGTGACGGACTAGAACTCAGGAGACCTGTCTTCAAATCCTTTCTGTCCCATTAAAACTTGCAGAATACATCATGCAGAAGGCTGGACTGGAGGAATCCCAAACCGGAATTAAGATTGCCAGAAAAAATATCAACAACCTCCGATATGCAGATGATACCAGGCTGATGGCAGAAAGTTAGGAGGAATTAAAGAACTTTGTAATGAGGGTGAAAGAGGAGAGTGCAAAAAACGGTCTGAAACTCAACATCAAAAAAACTAAGATCACGGCCACTGGTCCCATCAGCTCCTGGGAAATAAAAGGGGAAGCTATGGAGGCAGCGTCAGATTTTATTTTTCTGGGCTCCATGATCACTGCAGATGGTGACAGCAGCCATGAAATTAAAAGACGCCTGCTTCTTGGGAGGAAAGCGATGACAAATCTTGACAGCATCTTAAAAAGCAGAGACATCACCTTGCCAACAAAAGTCCGAATAGTCAAAGCTATGGTTTTTCCTGTAGTGATGTATGGAAGTGAGAGCTGGACCATAAAGAAAGCTGACCGCCGAAGAATTGATGCCTTTGAATTGTGGTGCTGGAGGAGGCTCCTGAGAATCCCCTGGACTGCAAGGAGAACAAACCTATCAGTTCTAAAGGAAATCAACCCTCAGTGCCCACTGGAAGGACAGATCCTGAAGCTGAGGCTCAAGTACTTTGGCTATCTCATGAGAAGAAAAGACTCCTTGGAAAAAAACCTTGATGTTAGGAAAGTGTGAGGGCAAGAGAAGAAGGGGACGAACGAGGATGAGATGGCTGGACAGTGTCTGCGAAGCAACCAACATGAATTTGACACAACTCCAGGAGGCAGTGGAAGATAGGAGGGCCTGGCGTGCTCTGGTCCATGGGGTCACAAAGAGTCGGTCACGACTAAACGACTAAACAACGACCATTAAAACTTACCGAAGGATAGAAATGGCAAAACCACGCCTTCAAGATCCCACAGTTGCCATGAGTCAGAACTGACTTGATGGAACACAGTTTACTATGCCTTATCTATGCATTAACTTTTTCAAAAATAAATAAATAAATTCTTTCCAAGCTTAGAAGATATAACATTCTCTGTCATAGTAATAGTATTTGTAGTTATCCAATGAAGCTCAGTAATGGGAAATTCATGACAGAAAGCAGTGGACAGTGAATTTTTAAAAATGAAAAATTTGCAATAAAAATTGAGAACAAATGTTAGATGAAAAATTTAAATGGTGTTAGAATAAAACTAACAACAGTAGTAACCTAATCAAAACAGCACCCAAATATGCTTTTAATACTAAAAAAACCTTGAGAATATAGAAATAACTTTATTTTTACACTGATCACAACACAGTGGGATGCCTTTGGAGAAGGCATCCCACAAATAAGGTGCCAGCACTGGAAAAGCTGATAGTCACACCAACTTATTTGATTGGGGCATGGAATTTATTAAAACTTTAGCATTATCTAACTATGATGGCATATATGAGGCATGATCCTTAAGCTAATCTAAGTCCAAACTGTGTATGGCTTTGAAGTTTAATATTATCCCTTTGCATTGAGCCTGAAAATAGACTGGAAGGCAGAGCACATCACTTAACACTGATGTATTATAGTTTTATTAGAACAAACAGGTTGTCCTGTTTTGGCAAGAAGTTTCATTTGCACAACAGCTATACAGATACATGTATGAATCACATGGTCTTGATGATTCAACTAGAATCTGGAAGAAAGTCTCAGGACTGACAGAGGTTAACCAGTGATTGAAAATTCCCTCTCTTATCAGTGTGATGACACAGATAGAAAAAAGCAAACTTGTGAAATTACACCTGGGAAGTCAAGCTTCCATAGGTAAATTCACATTAACTGGTCACACAGGGACAGGGAAGGAAATCAACAAACAGCCTTGTTTGCAGTTTGTTAACATACATCTCCTGTAGCCCTCCTGATTTTCAGGAGGCATTGCTTCAAAAGAGGCATTGCTTACCTTAATACAGTGGTGCCTCGCTTTACGATTGCCCCGTTTAACAATGAAACTGCATTACGATGAACTTTTTGCCATCACAAAACGATGTTTCCTATGGGGGAATTTCGCTTTGTTCCCTGCTTCAGGAACCGATTCTTCGCAAAACGATGATTTTTCCAACAGCTGATTGGCAGTTTCAAAATGGCCTCCGGGTAAACAAAATGCCCCCCGCTGTTTTCTGGGACGGATTCTTCGCTGCACAGGCAGCGAAAATGGCCACCCTATGGAGGATCTTCGCTGGACGGTGAGTTTACAGCCCTTTGGAACGCATTCAACGCGTTTCAATGCGTTTCAGTGGGTTTTTTCTTTTTGCATTACGACGTTTTCGT